ACACAACTGATCTCCAGGTTTGTCAGTGATCCATCCAAGTCACTCATGGGCTTCCATCCCTTCACCAACATCACCGCAGCAAAATTCAAAGGCCTTTRCCCAACTGAGTTCTCGAAGCATCTGTAGGACTGCTGGACAGCACCAAATCAGTTATCCTATAAGTCTTACACCAAAAAAACTTCTACCCACACAATAACATAGACTTTTCTAAAAATCAACAGCACAGAAACAAAATGCCCAGCGTACCAACTTGTTGAGACGCGCTCACTGCGTGCCATTTATCTCAAACAGTTGGATAAAATGCTTCTTGTATCAACTGTGGSAGGAATGAAATGCAGAGTGCAGCTTAACCATGGGAAAACCTATCACCATCCTAGCCCAGYCCTTCCTCGAACCTATCAGACTCTTCCTTCCTGCCCAATTTCTAACAGAACTGTAGATATATCACTTGAAAGCCAAACTGCTTAGAAACCAAGTTCAAAGAAAACTAAAAAAGGAAAAAAAAAAAAAGTTAAATACAAGCTAAAAAATTGGATCTTTTTGCAGACACTACACAAAAAAAAAAAAAAGCAGAAGTGAATGTTCAGCTGGGGAGGTTACAGAATTAAAACCATTGAGCAAAGCAACTCTTTGTGACTACATATGCAAATAAGGGACTCCCAGCCTTATCAGCCTTTTCCAACCATACCTACCTGAAAAACCTAACACTACACAAAATCGAGTAATTGATGCTTCCTTGGGCTTGTTTCTGCATTGCATAGAATCAGGGTGGCTGTCAGGTTCAGAGAAAGCGCCACAGCAGAGTTCAACACCCTGTGCTCTGTGGCAGCCTYTGCCTGCTGCACCTTCACCTGCTGTAGCTGCACCTTCACCTGCTTTACCTGCACACTCTCTCCAAGAGGAGCCATTCCCACCGCTGGGCGCGCCAGCACCTTTCCAGCCACGCAGCCAGCGCTCCGGCCTATCTCCGGAGCCTCATCCCGGGTTTGCCAGCAGCTTTCCCACCGCTCGCCTTTCCTCTCCCGGCTCCCATATCCACGGCGATACAGCACATGGCACACAGAGCACCTGCAGCAGCTGCCGGGCCTTTCCCTTCGGGATAAACCACACCATGCATGAAAGCGGGCCGCTGGTTGTGGCTCCCTGGGGAACACCGGTGGGCACTGTCCCCGCGCCTGGGCAGGCAGGGGGTACCGGCGGCCGCTGCCCGAGCCGGGGGTGACCGGAGACCGGGATCGGCCGTGCCCCCTCCACAAGGGCTCTGCCGCAGGCCCGAGGGCGGGGGGAGCCAGGAGCGGGCTGGAATTATGAAACTGGATCAGCAGGGAAACCCCCGGGGCCTCCCCCGCGCCGTACCTCGGAGACCTCCTCTTCCTCCTCCTCCTCGTCCTCGTCTTCCTCCTCCTCCTCCTCCTCCTCCTCTTCGTCGCTGCCGTTGTTGCTGCTCTCGCTGCCGCCGCCGCCGCTCTCGCTGCTGCTGGCCGGCCGGGCCGCCCGCCCGCCGCGCTTCGCCTTGCCCGGCACCGCCTTCTTCTTCAGCAGGAGGTCGCACACCCGCACCAGCCCCGCCGCCCCGGGCCCGCACGGCGATGGGGACGCGCCGGGGCCGCTCGACCCCTCCGGGGGACCGGGCCCCGCTGTGGCGCTGCCGGCCTCTCCGCCGCCGCCCTCACCGCCTCCCTCCTCCGCCGTCACCGCTACCGCCGCGCCGACCGCCTTCTCCATGGCCGGAGAGGAAGGAAAAGGAGGAGGAGGAGAAGAAGGAGGAGGAGGAAAAAGAGGAGGCGCCCGCGGCCGCCGCTGCCTCGGTCACCTCTAGCGCCGGCGCCGCCGCCGCGCCAACTCTCGCGATACTTCCTGTGGGCGCCGCTCGCGCCGCTCCGGCTCCGGCTCYCCTGGCGCCGCTCGCGCCGCTCTGGCTCTCCCCTCACGCCGCCCGCTCCCGCTCCCCTCGCGTCCCTTCCCCGTTCCCGGCAACGGCACCGCGGCCACGGCGGCGAGACGCCCCCTTCCCTCGCTTCCTTCCCTTCCTTCCGCCCGCGCCGCCGCCTCGGTCACCGCCCCGGCGCCGGAACCGCCGTTAGCGTCATCACTCTCAGCCCTCAGCCCGTTCCGCCTTGGTAAGGGCAACGGAGAGCGCGGCCGAGCYTCTCTCGGGAACTGTCCCCGGGAATCTTCCCCCGAGAGGCTCCCGTGGGCCCAGGGGTGCCGAGTTACCTCGGTATGGCCCGGTGGGCTCCCGTGGTCTGTGGGGGCAGCGCTGCTCCGGAGCGTGAGGGGAGCGCGCCCAGGGCGGGAAATCCCGTGAGGGAGCGCCCGTATGGAAACCACACAACCCGCACAATTCCACTTAAAAGAGATGGTCTCTCCTACAGTGCAGACAATACGCATTAAAAAGCAACCTCCAAACCCCTCTCATAATAGAAATAGGTAGGGCATTGCTAAAAGTGTCAGTAAATATATTGGAAGAGTATCACTAAAAGCGACGGTCAGTGAAACTGCAACACACAGAATTTCAGTTAATAAAAGTCACATCCAAGCAACGACTGCCAACGAGCACTCAGTGCTCTGGTCAAGTTGACAAGGTGGTGATCAGTCAAAGGTTGAAGTCRGTGGTCTTGGAGGTCTTTTCCAAAGTAAGTGATTCTGGGATTCTATGTTCTTCCGCACAGTCCGTTCTCACCAGGCCCTCTGCATTCTAAATTAACCTCTAAACACCCCTGCTTTACAACAATTTTCTTACAGTATCACTCAAAATTACAAACATAAGGATGCCCATGTCAATTCGATCTGTATTCGATCAATATTTCTGTAARGAAACCCTTCAAATGTGTCATCATTCCCTGATTCACCCCTCAGGCCCCCTACCCCAGATAYTCATTCCTGAAGTGTATTCAGGATATTAATACTGTTGCCTCCATTGGGGCAGGCCAAGCCTTGCAGTAACCAAAGTTAAATATATGTTAAATACAAATGTATGTTAAATATTGAAATTGCAGCTTCCTCATTGGAGAAATGGGCTTTTTCCATTTTACTTATTAGACCTGTTAGAAATAAAAATTTTAAGCACAGAAACACATGAATGTGAAGATCAGTAATGGCTCTATGCACTGGTACACTATGAATGTTTTGGAATTGGTGTTTCAAACTAACAGTGCCTATCCCAGTTATATTTTACAGAAATGGTAAGAGGTTGCTGTTATTTGACTGCTTAGGTGTTGTTTCTCTTATTTGGCTGATACTGGAGAGCACCAGTCAGCTCTGCAGCACCTCTGAAATTAAATACTGTTTTTTAAAAAGTCCTCAAGTGGTGCTCATCATGGAGTCTGCACAGTTCCCCCATATCTTCATGTTGCTGAAATCCTGCTAAAACATCCTGATATGGTCTTCTGTTCTCAATAAAAGGACTGCCTTGGTTGTAAGAGCCCCACTGTTAAATTACCTTATTTCCAACTCATCTGGAAATAACTGACATAGACTCCTCTAAGGTACAAGGTCTAAACTGAACAATATAAATATCAATGCAGATGACAGTTTAATGTGATTCAGGAAGAACAACTGAATATTCCGGCCACCTACCCCCTACTTCCCAGTGTGACTGCACAGAAAACTCAAACCACATCAGCATGTGTGATAGCAGATCAATGACAGCAATACTTTTGTCCTCTTATAATTTTTTTTTTGCATTAAAATTAATGCAAATGCATTGATTTTTGCTGGTTWCTATTGGTATGCAAGCACAAATTAAACATTTGTTACTTATTATTATATATAACATTATATATGTTTAGCATTTATGTTCTATATTATTTGTTGTCATCACAAGAAGCAGAAAAGAGAACTGTAAGTGAATATAGGTAATCACAGCCCTACAGCCTGAGATTTGTGGTGTGGTGTGACAAGGATGTCACTTTTCCMATGGATAAGGCTGGAAAAGTGACCTAATTTTCATCGTTTGATCGAGAGGTGACTGTCTTTAAATAAAACACATCTGAGGTTGCTCTGGCTGTAGCAGCAGCCMAAGGGGCTGTCCCAATGCAGCACATTCACCTATGTGAGCCGGGAAGGGTGTTTGCAGAGCTGGATTTCACYCTTTGAGCTGTTAGCCACCCTTCCTCTGTCCCTTCCCAGGACGGCTGAGGCGGGAAATGGCCGCAAAGGGCTCTACCGCAGAGCTGGGGCTGCTGTTACTCTCAGCTACATTGTACCGCAAATGCCTTTCACAGGGGGTACATTCGCACCGTATTCGAAGTATCCATTCGGGTTGTTGGGCTTGGAAAGGGTCCAGTTTCTGGCTGAAATCAACCATAGTATGTGTCCTATTCCCAAAGCCGGGATCAGATGGAGCAGTTACCAGCACTACTAGTGYTGGCACAGGCACAGTGGCCTGTCGRAGACTGTTTGTTCCGTTTCTTTTATGGTGGTGACCTCTGTTCTGATCAAAGAGTGGCGCCTCCTCATTTTGCACTGCAGAGCAAGTCCTTTTCCTCCATTTCACAGCTTCCAGTTTATCCCTGCTCTCCCYGCCACCCTGCTTTGAGCCTTTTGTGCTGGACCCTTCCAGAGAAGGGCAACGGAGCTGGGGAAGGGTCTAGAGAGGAAATAATGAGGAGTGGCTGAAGGAGCTGGGGGGTTCAGCCTGAAGAAAAGAAGGCTCAGGGAATATTCTCGCTCTCTAAAACTCCCTGATAGGAGGCTGCAACCAGGTAGAGTTCGGGCTCTGCTCCCAGGTTATTGATCACTCCACTGAGCATTCCATAGGAGTATGGGGAAAGCTTGAGGCCTGGCTTCAGCAAATACTTTCAGGAACTCTCTCCTGTGGGCTACATTCATTAAAAAGTTCTGCAGGACAAACAGTGYGTTGACACCTCTGCTGGTGTCATAATTATCCTCATGGATCTGTTTTCAGYTTCATTTGTAGCTGCTGGAAGCAGTGTAATCAACAACGTCAAGAAGCAGGGAGCGCGTGAGCATGAGTTTTGTTTGCAATTAATACAGGAACCAAAAGAAGTTCACAACATCTTTATTTTTTAACCCAAACTCAGGGCTGCTACAACTTCCACAAGATGATTATCCAAATAAACTTTAAACTAATCGAAACCCCCAATCCTGCCATTCTCACTGGTGATAGTACAAGTGATTGCTTTGATTATCTTTGATATGTACAGTTTTGCCAAGGCTGCATCTTCTCTATGTGCTGGAATGTTCTTATGCGTATCATTCAGGCAACTGTGAAGCCCCAATTGGATTGTTCTAACACACATACCAAAGGAACTGGCTCACTGGATCTCCTTCACTGGTGCATAGCATTGAAGATCTGAAATGGGAGGCAAGAAAAACTAAAATTAGACCACCCCAACTTATTTTAAATGGAAGTAATAAAATTGAAGTTGTTCAGCAATTAGGCAATGACTGCTGCCCAAGGCAAAGGGAGAAAGAAAGAAGAGAATAATAGTGTTTGTACATTCAGAGAAGTACAGTTTTCTGTGATACACACTTTTAGTCTTGTCTGAACCACTCCATTTTAATGCCTGTAAATTGCACATGGAAAAGAATGATTAAAAACATATTTTATATAGCTATGGCATTTACTTTAAATTACATTTTTAAACTATTGCTACTTCTTCTTACAGCAAGTTAACTGTGAGCATCTCCTTACTCACAAGGCCACACCACTTGAAAGTGAAGACAATCCAGATAGACTGAGAATTTAAGAGGAGCAGCCCTAGCCTGGGAGAAGTGCTTCGAGTTACAGCAGGAGGTAAATTTACATTACTGTTAACAYTCAAACCCTTCCAGCCTGAAAGCCCCTTTTGGATTGACTTCAGCCTATGTCTGGTATGGTAAGTCAGGAGATTTTGGCTATGGCTATCCTTATCCATGATCAGTGCCATTGGAAATACACATATATATCCTGCTCAAGTGCCTTGAAAATCATTGTATCCCATCTCAGATACCGATATTGCATGTTCTGGGAGTTGCTCTTAAAACATCATGCCACCTTTGACCAATTCCTCACAGGCAAAATTGTGAAAGGAAATACAAATCCAGAAAGCAAAACCGACTAAAGATGGATTCAATGAAGAAATCTGCAAGTGTTCTGTTAAAAAATAAAACATTTGTTCTGTAACATATTTAGTACTTTGAGAATCTTAGTTAAGAAATGGCTTAAGCACTTGAAATCCTAAAACACATTARTACTCTTTGAGCCATACATTTTAACATACATAAATGTTTTTGAATGTGTATTTSAAGTTCCCAGTTTTCCTGATAAGCYTTCAARATGATTATCCTTTGTAAGTATAAAACTGAAAAACACCATGGCAAATAGAGGTAAAGTACATCTGGATAAGACTCTGGATTCTTTCTCCTGCTCTTCAAGTGCTGCTGAAGGTAAAGTAAAACCAAGACAAGACAAATCATAAGATAAAGTGAATGTTTTTGTGTATTTCACRTATAATGGATCTGTAATCCAAAACTGTAAATCAGACCTCTCAAGCCAAACCACATCACCTATATTTGAATATCAAAGTTTATATGTCAAATTAATGTTTTGCTGTTTGGGGTTTTTTTCTATTGCTGACATTTAAGGCAGCATCAGCTGTGGGCTGCACAAGAGTCAGCTAGCTAGGAGGTTAAACATTTCTTACACTTTGTGTTTTGCCTGAGTTCAGCCAATCCATAATGATAATTTCTATAGTAACCACTTTTTAAGTAAACAATTGATTAGTTCTGAAATTAGTCCTTGAAACAGCTTCTCTTGGAAGATCTCAATGCAATCAGCCTTCTGCTGGCATGCAGAACAAGGCTYAAAACAAGGCTCAGGCTGTTTTTTCCATCCTTGTATAGAGTGTGCCTTGAAAATATTTATCCTCCCAGGGTAGTTTTATCTCTGGATAAAGAAGGGAGTGGGAATCTCCATGTAAAACTCGGTAAGACCTTGGATTCTGTGACGGCAGTGTAAGAAATGTATTTGATATCTCAGAAAGGCACTTGAAGGGAGAACATTTTTGGCAGAGTTCAAATTAGAACTAGAAAAACTGTCAACAAGTTTTTGATGGTCTAAAATCCCCTAACCCCCAAGGTCCCGTGGAACCTCTGTTTTCAAACAGAACCTGCCCTCTCTTGTTTACTGTGTGTTTTTCTACTTTTTGGCTACATACTGTAGGTTCCTGCTCTGTTTTAGGGGGCCATTGGGACAGGGAATCTTTAATAACAGGAGGAAAGCTCAATGTTTCTGTTATTTCAGTGATACTCAGTAGGTGGAGCTAAAAGCCACCAACTAACCTGCAGCTAAAACTAGTCTGATTTTATCTCTTTCCAGTGCTTTGGAAATTAACTTTACTAAAGCACTCGATTCTTAAATATGAAKATCCTAAATTTTATTATTATTCCACAGAAACATAAAGTGATTTTTTTGTGTGTAATCTATTTCCAGCAGGCTAAACAAGGATCTTCTGTCTGTGTGACATTTACAATGCCACTGACTTCACTGCTAGCTAACTACAAAGTTAGAAGCTGCCTTGAGTAGCTTTGTGCTCCTGAATTAGTGACCTTTTCAATAGAGAGAAAAAGTGCTGATGGGGTGAATTTTCTGTCACTTGTCATTCTCTTATTTTCTTCTTCATGACTATGAGTTTATTTATATTTTTAAATGAGAGAATATCTCAAATATCAAACTTAGAACTGTCTGGTGAGTGAGCCTTTGAAAGGTAAATCTGGATCTTTTATTCTCATTCATGAATTTTGATGCACTGACTCAGCCTGAAACATCTGATTTGTTTTCTCAAGTATGTAATTTTCAATTATAGACATATTAATTTCCAATACTTAACACTGTACTCCAGAACTCAGTTTGAACACACATTCCCAAGCTTACMTTCAGACATCACTACAGTCTCTCCATCTTTACCAAAGCTTTTAAATCTCACTTAATTTCAGTGAGCTTTAAACTTGGGTTCAGCAAAACACCTTATGTGTAATATTTATGTACCCTAATTCCAAAYCCTGCACATCTCTTTGTTAGATAGTGACTGCCACTAGCCAAAAAAGCCATTCAGAATTTTTGGAGTGCTTTATCAGCATTACCTCATACCTTGAGGAACTTCTCACATTCTGTATTTCTGATATGTTTCTTTAATTTAAAAAGACTCACGTAAGGACAGGGAGAACATTCTTCAAGAAAAGTACTTCCAAAAGCATTGCACAAATACATTGCAACAAAAGCACCAAACAAATCACACATCAATATTAATCAACAAGCTGAATTTTCTCTCCATTAATTATCAAACCCCAGTGGGAGCTGATCTCCTTTTTAGACATATCATTATGGCAATTCTTTMAGATTGTAAYTTTCTTTGCCCACAAGAACATTAAWTTTTTCTCAACTTGGAGGCCCACAGCCTCCAAAATAGTTTTGTGACAGTAGGTGGCAGACTTCTCCCACCCGAGAGTTTGGAAGATGCTTCATCAGGCCAGTTCTTTTGGAATGCTGATACCTGTTTATTCAGGACACACCATAGCTTTCCCTGCCAGAGCTCTCTTTCAGGAAAAGATCAGGCCTAAACATCAGTTTCAGGGTAATCTCAATATAACCTGAGCTACATCTACTTTTTGCAGATACGTTTCCTACTCCTCCACTTACTAGTTTAAAAACATTTGTGTGATTTGGTGTGAAACAACTTCCTCAAAATATTGCAGCGAGGGTTGAAAATCTGCACAGAAAGATCCAAGATAAAATCTCCCTTTTATCTAGCTCATTTCCCAGTGAAGTCAGGCAAATTTTGTCACTGACTTTGATGTGACCAGAATTAAGCCAATGCTGAATATATTTCAAAATCCTGCACGGAGGACCTGGTAACCGTTGTAAGTTGTCAAAGAGCCTCTTAAGCAATATCAGAGCTCAAGAGACAGGAGCCTATGCTTTGTCTCACTTTAAATCACTCCTTTCCCAGCCTAAAGTGCAGTTATATATTAAAAGGACAAAGGGAACACTTGAGAAGTAGAAGCAGACAGATTGCCCAGCTAACAAAGAATCAAATCAAATACTCTTTTCTTTGAAAAGTAACTAACTAATACACAGAAATTCCTTGGCAAGCCTCAATTTCAACTTTTCCACACAATAATTTCTAGTTCTGATGCTGCATCGTTCTGGATTGAATTTTATGACCACCTTGAGAATGAAGTTTTCTTTTTTGTGGGTGTACAGGTAAAATAACCTAAGCCCATGTCAGTGGAGCTCTTTTTTGTGGTAGTGGGATAGTGGGAACGGCATGGAACAATCCATAGCCATGAGTCTCTGGGGCCTACAACGTGCATCCCAAGGTCCTGGGAGAACTGGCTCATGTGGTGTGCAAGCCACATCTCCATCATACTGGAAAAGTCACAGTCATCAGGTGAAGTCCCCAGGGACTGCAAAAAGGGAAACCTTTCATAAAAGGGGTAGAAAAGGAAGACCCAGGGAACTATAGATCGGTGAGCATTACTTCTGTGCCAAGGTCAGACCCTGGAGCAGGTCTTTGTGGAAGCAATGCTGAGACACGTGCAAGACAGAGAAGTGATCCAGGGCAGCCATCACAGCCTCACTAAGGAGAAATTGTGCCTGACCAGTCTGGTCCCTTTAAGGTCATCGAATCCAGCCATTAACTCAGCACTGGCAAGTACACCAATAAAGCATGCTAAGTTAACTGAATCCAAAATGTTTCACTGGAAACATCAGAATACCAATAAACATCCATAAAATCCAGTGTTGTACTTCCATATTGCCTCTGACAAACCTGCAGAGAGGGCAGGCTCTGTACGTAAGAGATTTCTGTCAAGTGATGCAAGAACATTTTGCATTCTAGGATGTCAAAGAATCCATCCCAAAACTACTTGCTGACAGCCAAGAGGCTGCAGTGCCCAACAGTGCAGCAGGAGCTCAGAAASCAGAGACTTCTGTTCATATCAGACTCTCAGCATTTTCTGGCTTGCTGGGATGACCAGGAGCACTGTGCTCAGTCTTGTCTTAGCACTAGGCTCTCCTCTCTGCCAGCTGGAACTGGGAGAAATTTKATTCAACACATACTTTGCCCAGCTTCCACTTTGCCAGTCCAGAGAGCCAAGAATCTGCCTAGATCTGCACTGACTTTAAGGGAAGCCTTAAGCCCCTTTGCACTGGGATTAGCTCCGGTGCCTAGACCTCCACTTAGTGCTTCCAGCACTCAGAGTCAAGGAGGAAAGCCAGAAACCCCAGTTCACTCCAAAGTGAAGGTGCCCAGATAAGGGCACCACTACATTAATCGTTATAATTGAATTTCCTGGGTTATTTTTGAGACATGTGAATAAGCTGTGGATATGCCCAACCAGCAATAATGAAGTGCTGTTGGTATGAGCGGAAAAGGCCTCTGGGCAGAAAGCAAATGTCAAGGACTGTCAGCATGAGGGTAGAGGGCACCACAGAGGAATGGCCTTGCGAGTGTAGCCTCTGCCTAATTGATCCAAAAGACAACACCAAAAGCTTCATCTGCAAAGAGTTAGTTAATATTTCTTTGCACGACTCTCAGGTTAGTGCTCAAATTAAAAAATACAAACCAAACATCACAGGTTTTGCACAGCCACTGATCTGCTTGATAGCTATCTTTAGCTCCTTTGGTGTGTGGACCAATCTTTTGATAATTTATTTAAGAGAACCACAAGAACCATACAGATCTTTGCTAACCTCAAGCACAGCTTTTGGTCTCTGATGAAATTTTTCTGATTCTGGGAATGTTCTAAGGAACCATTCTTCTAAAATCAGGTCTTCCTGAAGGCCCTCACATTCAGAGAAACCGAATTTCAAACTCCAATCATTTGTCTTCTATGGAAATCAGACTTTACAGGCACTACTCTAAAGAAAAACAAAGAATCAAAGAAACCAAGCAACATTTCCTCTGTTTGTATTATTTTTAGTCACTTCCTTAACACTGGGAATCCTGGGTTTCCAGTACTACATGTCATAGTGTGACAAATAAAGGAGAACATGGGAAGGAAAACAGCAACCAGAAGAAAGACAAGGTTTTGTTGCTGCTGCAACAAATGCAGTTCTCTTYTAAGAGATCATTACATCCTGGTAATCTAATTGGGAATCTGATTCACACTGAAGGAAGTACTGAACCTGGAACTACAAGCCAGAGCTCACCTAATAAATGTGGTCCAGTTGAATGCTGCTTGAAAAACAACTGATTTTTACAATGGAGAAGTACAGGTACTTAGATTTGGTTAACTGAACTTGGCTTCACAGGCTAAGGCAGAAATGTGGAAATATTTCACCGTGCCTTTGGATTTCACTTGTACAGACAGGATGTTTCACATTTCATTCATGGAGCCTCAGAATTCACAACTGCAGCACAACATGAAGAAGTGGATTATCTTTTTATGTCAGCAAGAAAATGACAGTGCCAAATTTTAAAACATCTTGTCCTGCCTGCTCCAGTAACAAGGACACACAAATGGCTCTACAAGCTTTTCTTCTCCTGCCAAGGTGCCACCTGAGGCCTTGACTCTCAGCTGAAGAAATTCCAAAGACAGTAAGGGGATATTTGAGGTGGAAAATGCTGTTCTTGCTCCAGGACTTAATTCAAAATAATTATCTTTTAATTTTTTGAAGTTGTGAGGGCTTTATCTACAGGAATTGTTTGCTCAGGAATAGAGGAAAGACTGAGAAGAGAATTACTCCCTTTATCTCCTTAATGCTTGAACATTTACAACTTGTCTTAAATAGATGAACTGGGATCTTCCCAACAAAGAAACCAATGCATAAAACCCCCAAGTCCCTAGCAGAAAAAATCAGCACAAGAGCATCATTACAGCAGTAACACAGATTCTGTTTCTATGGAGATTGACATGAAAGAGAAAATATTTATCAGCTTGGCAATTTTTAGGCCAGAATGGGGAAACTGTAAGTTTACRATGAAACTAAACAAAAAATAGGGCAAAGTAAGAATGCCAGCACTGCCAGTGGTGCAGTAACATTGCAGGAGGCAGCTGCAGAATGGCAAAAATTTTCCACAAGTCCTACAGACCCTCTAAACTTACAGGATTGTTTTTCAACTCTTAAAGTGTTTCAAGTTGACTGCAAACCTAGTGGCTTCCAGAATCTTAGTGCATTTTACACAAGCTTTGTTTCTGATTTTAGCAAATACACCTGCTTACACTTAAACAAAAAAAGTTTGTAGCTATCTTTTTAATAGAAGTTGGAGGTTATGAATCAATGGCCTGAAGAAATTAAAAATAAAAAAACCCTCCAAACATTTCCTGCTGTTCCTCAAAAGTTTTCAGTATTTCTTTTACTGCTAACCTGAGGTATATGAAATCTAGAGAAGAAATATTAACAATCTCTCACCAAACAAAAGCTTGCAGCTTTGGCTCTTGACTGTACATTAAATGGCTCTTCTCTCGTGCCAAAGGCCATCAGGCAGCATAGAAATTGGAAAATGCCAAAAAGTTTCTAGGGCACAAGTGAATGCACTGGATTCCAAAGGCCTCCAGGACTTATGTAAGAGGAAGAAAAAAGATCCCCACCGACAGTCCTATCATGGGCCAAAGATCAATCACATCACTGCAATAACTTCAGCTCCAGAGACAATTATCAAAGGCATTATAAGAAACACTGAAGAAARAAATCTTCCTGAAGGTCTTTGTGAACAGAGCAATGCTGCACCTCTGGGGTTTTTTTCCCTCATCTATTTTGTATTTAGATACAAAATTTAGGTACAACCATATCAAGACATAACACTGATTTTTTATTTTTTTTTGAGGGACCTTGTAACTAGAAATGGATAATTAAACCAGTATTCATCTATTTTGTGGATTACCTACTAGAACTGGCAGAGAAAAAAGTCACAGAGACATGGAAAAAAGAGACACATTCTGTCTCTGAAGTCTCAGAACTGGTACCCTCAAAAAGCATTAAAGGCTTAAGCAACTGAATGCTTAATAGACAAAGCAAAGCTGTTCTTGCACCTGCTGCCCAAGGATGATGTTGGCAAATGGTAATGAATAAGAAAAACAGTTACATCACCACATTGTGTACTTGTGAGACAAAGGGGTAAGGATGGTAGAAAGCCCTAGGGATCAAATGTACAGGATTAGCAAGAGCACTCATTCTTGTTGAGCCAAAAATCCTTCTTTGAATGATCAAGAAGTCGCTAACACCGCAGGGGAGTGGCTGACACAAGATGAACAGTTGGGTATCAGAACTCATTGATGCCCACRAGATACACCTGACATGAAATGCTGTTAGCTACACCTGAACGGGTCTCTGCCTGTTCTRCCACAGTGATCAAACCCTTTCTATCTTTATGTTTGCTTGTTTTATATCAATGAGTCCATCTCTGTTCAAACAAAAGCCATATATCTGAGATGTTTGACTCATTCTGCACAGCAGCCAAACATCACTGATAAGAACAGCAAACACCATGCACCACAGAGGGAAAAAACGTAATACCTGATACACGTCCATGTGTCCAGAGCTACAGACATTTAGAGCTACAGACATTTATTTAGAAATATACTGATTGTTATGGCTATTAACAAAATTAGCTACTCTCCAATGGAAAAGAAAAAATACCAGGCAAACCAGATATCTGTAGGCACAGGGCTAGAAATAGGAGCTGGCAACACCTTTTTCAACCCTCTCTTACCTCCTCCTGCAGACAGGTGAGAAGGAATATTCTTTTTCTGGCTCCCTCAGCTTTGGCAGAAAGCTGTTTCACATTCTCAGGAAGATTGCTAGCTGGCTGCCCCCTTTCCTGTTCTCATGAAATGTGTAAAAAGCCAAAGCAAACCAAGGAACAAAACCCCCTCCTGGCTAGTGGCACAGGAATGTCTCTAGGTCTGGTGTGAGTCTCATGGTCCAGTCCCACAAAAAGAACTTTAGGTCTTGAAAAAAAGAAGAAATAGCAGTAAATAAAATCAAGGGGCACAAATGTAAAGGGTTTCTTGATGTTCTTTGGTTTTTGTGAGATTACTTTGCAAAGGACTTACTTTCCAAAAGGGCTGACAGTTGTTCTTATGGTAAATCACATTTGTTTCTGAAGAGCCTCATGCYATATTAGTACATCTTGGTCCACTTCGTTTCTACTCTTCCACTTTGCACAGGCTGCTACAATAAAATATTTAAAAATTATGCATCCTTTTTATTTCTAGGTCAATTACTCTTGAAATTACTGGCCTTTGGTTGCCCACACCTGGAATAAAACTAGTTACCACCTGTAACTTTAGACATAAATGAATGCAAAAATGGATCACCTTAAAATGTCACTGATAAATTCCTTTCCATAATACCAGGACAGCTCGGTTGGAGTGAACTCAACATGGTATGAAAGCATTGAGTAACAGGAAGCTCAGTATAATATTTAATATAGTTAAACAAACATGAGCATTGGAGTTCAGCTCTCAGCAGTTATATGAGCCATTGGCATCAAGTACAGGACGGACAACAGAAGCTATCTAGAAATAAACATGGACCCTGTATTCCAAACTTACATATTAACTCTAGGGGACCACTGGTGTTCTTGCTAACACTGCATAATGCTGCAAGGGAAAATTCCAGAGAGCTTGCAGGATGCAACACTGCATTCATTCTGCTGAATTTCAGCTTTGCCCTCCYAGCCCTTAGCTGTAGTTTTCTGGAGACTTCTTTGGTATGGCCTGAGAGCATCTTAAGAGCTGCTCTAAGACATCATTCACCAATAGCACAGTTTTTCACTACCTTATGGTTATCCACAAAATACCTGTGTTTGTGTCCCACTGAATGCCCTGTTAGGATTTGAAAGGAGATGGATCTTCTCTGTCAGAGGGACATGGTCAGTAAAATGATTACAGACTGAATTAACAAGCTCTTTCCTCAGAYTTTGTTATGCTAAAGCAGTAGGGGTCTGAAACATCCACGGATTGTTCATCACAATTTCCATCATTCTCCAGAAATGGGGGATTTTGTTACAACCACCTGAAAACAATCCCAATATCTAACACTATGACATTTCTAACACTGCTTTTCTGCCAACCCAGCTTTTCTGTGCCATCCTTAAAGTAAGAATTATCCAAATAACCTTTTMATTCCCAAAATAGAGCCTTGTTYRTTTAAATCATTAACAGAATRCTGYTTTTACCAATRAAACCATCAGGAGCAGACTCKGGAAAACACAAAWTTTTTTGTAACAGCAGCAGCCAATAGAAATTTCATAGTATCAAACTATTTTGTGAACTCACCTCAGTTTTATGGGGTTATTCCTGGAGAACAGAACGGCCTTTCTGGAACACAAGATTCATTGCCTTGGCATCTTCCTGAATGAAAAATACCTGCAAATATTTTGAGTTTAGTCATGTCATTTGCTTTATTTTAAATGTCTTTAAAAACTYACACTTAGGAACAAAAGGAACTATGCATGTACTTACTGATTTATTCGAATTTCCAACAGCTGATCAYTGAATTGTTCTTCCTATTCCCATTAGGAATAACACAGAGTTATGGCAAAGCTGCCCATCTGAGAAAGAAAAACAGAGCAGAAAAGGGAACCTTAAGGATTAAGGAAGTGTTTGGAGACCACACTGTCAGCTCGTGGGTGCTCACAAAGCAAAGAGTTACAAGGCAGCACATAACCTCCATTTGTGTGGTTTGCCATCCAGACACTGGGGACACAGATTCATGAAAATAAAACACAGTATTTCCCACTGGGAACCTGCATCACTCTGCRCTCAGCAAGGATCCAGCCTCATCCTCAGTTCAGGATTTTTTGAAGCATCTCACTGGGTATCGTAATTTCAATTTTGTTCCATGTCCTGGGGCTCTGTGCAAGCTGCACATTTCTTCCTGTATCTGATTTCCTAAATTACTGACTAATCAAAAGGATATTTTTCACTGAGGAGAGYGATGCATAATTAAGAGATTACTCTTGGGAGGATGTCAGTACAAATGAGAAATTGCAAAAATTCTGAAATGACAGCTCTTGCACATGTTTACCCATGAGCTTGGCTGTTTTCTGGATATTGGTGAACAGCAGTACCCACAGAAAACCATAACAGGACCTAACAAATTCAGGTGCTCAAATCAGCCCTAGATGTCTAGATTAGCCATCTCACCTTTATGAAGCAATTTAAAATTAAAATTCTCTAATTTYAAGTTGACTGACTTCTATCTGGGTGAGTTCCTACTATACAATACCAACATGCTTTGCTTTTGAACAAATACTAGCAAAAAAAAGCTACAGGATTAGCCCTGATGACTTTYTTGTCTGATGCCTTGAACTCCTTGTTTGTCATTTGATAAGGAAATTTACGCAAAACTTTATCTTTTTTTGGGTGCTGGAAGGTTCAACCTCTTCAGGACGAAAAGGCCCAGAGTAACAGCACAGAATAAATAACAAATATAAAATAMATTTTTGGCAAGGGCAGCTGAAGTTTTGTAATCTTCTTCAGACCACACGGAAATCTGCAAATGCCAGCTCGGGGGTTAATATTTTACAAGCAGGGGTAGTGAAGGGTATATAAGCAAACRCCCTTCCTTCAATCGTCCTAGCATTTTTGAGCAATATTGCTCACATCATAATCTGAAACCATGAAGTGGTTAACATTAATTTCATTTATTTTCCTCCTAAGTTCTGCCAGATCCAGGAACCTGCTAAGAACTGCACGACATGCAGGTAAGAAAGAGCTAATTCTTTTTTTTAGAAGCCCTTGTTCTATYAATTTAATGTTTTTCATACAATTTCACAAACAATTCTTTTGGGAGCTTGATGTATATTGAATAGAAAAACATGATTGACTTGAAACTAAAAGAGACAGTGGGGAGATAGGTAGGACACTCAGGACACTGGGTGAATAGGTGTGATGCATCCCTCTGCAATGTCTGTCTGGCACATCAACAGATGTTAATGACTCAGGAGCTGTTCCTTTCCAGCATGGAAGAAGCAGGTGCATTGTGCTTTGGGAAGTTCTGTCTTTTGACAAGTTAATAATTTAGTCTTCATAAGGAGACAAATGTTCTAATCAAACTGCAGCCACATTGCTTTATCTGTAATGTTTGTTGTTGTTGGTTACGCAAAGGACACATTTGCTAACTCTGAATAGKAAGTTCCAACAGACGTTTTGAATATCTGAATTAAGAAGCTGCTTACAGAAGTAAACATTGTATTAGAATCATAAAAACCACATGCCTGGGTTCCTTCAGAAAGACAAGCAAACATAAGAGTTGGGTATCTGTAGACAAATGAACAAGAAAGAGTTCAAGTTCTTATGCCCTTCAGTATAAAAGTCGGGTGAATGCTGAGCACTTGTGCAAATCTGGCCCGTGGTGCCCAGAATGCATTTTTGGGGCCCAGCACACCTGGTGTGACAGTGACCATCACTGTTCCCTTTGTTTTCCTTCCTAGACGACAAGAGTCCAATTGCCCATCGCTTCAATGACTTGAAGGAAGAGACATTTAAGGCAGTGTAAGTGAACACTTCCATCTTCTGATTGTTTTGTCTCTCTTGATATTGTACCAAAAATGCAAAATAAGACACACAGTATGAGCTCACAAGGAGTGCGCATGTCTCACTGAAACACTGAGTTAGCCCCTTACTGTTACTATGCAAAATGCAGAAATATTTTAAGACCTGAAGATGTCACAATGATTTTCTTGCTCTCTGGGAAAAGAATACCTTGCAAACCTTATGAAAAAGCCTCTGTTTCTTCTCTGAAAATAAAATAGGCATGAGGAATACAGGTTTGATATCCTCAGAATGAAGATAAATTATGCTGCATTGAGACATTACCAGAAAAAAACACAAGCAAACCAGYAACCTCAAAAAACAAACCTGCAACMGGTTTTCTGAGACAATTCAGAGATTTGCATTTGAAACTGGTTTTGGGAAAGACAGAGGGCCCTGACAGAAACTAAGTACTGAAAGAAGGCAGCCTGAAGATCATAATGTGTAACARTGGAGGCCAAATCCAGTTTAGGTTRTAGCACTTAGGAGTTCACTGGTAAAAGTGGCAGAAAACTCCAATCACAGTGTTTTCTGGCTTGTTTCTAATTTATTACTCAGGACTTCTTTTATTGGAAAGGTTAAAAGGTTATTGGGAAGGTTAAAAAAATGTTCAGAAAGGAGGTGAGAAGAAGACATGGGATCTGGCACTATGCTCTGAATATAGGTATATTATAATATTGGTATTCTGGTTAACCTTTCTAACCTATTCTAAGGTTAACCTTTCTGCAGGTCATTTGAACAAACAAGTTGAATTCAGAARCACCTTTGAAAATACTGACTGATATGTTTCTCATTTTCATATTCCAAACTGYGCTTTGTTTCAGTACCATGATCACATTTGCCCAGTACCTCCAGAAATGTTCCTACGAAGGACTGTCTAAGCTGGTGAAGGATGTTGTTGATCTGGCACATAAGTGCGTGGCCAACGAGGATGCTCCTGAGTGTGGAAAACCACTGGTAGGCAGTGAATCCTTCAATATTGTATTTCTCCTCACTCTGAGCAGCTGCCAGGACCACTCTCCTTGAAGATTTATACCTGAACTTTCAGAACTTTCTGCCTTTAAGAAATACCTAAATGATCAAAGGAGCCATATACTGGAGACCAAATACCACCTTTTGGCACATTCAGTTTAGCATTGCCTCAACATAAACGTCATCATTTAGCACAAAACCACAGCTGTAAAGTACAGGCCTAATTCTAGGTATTCAAGTGACCCAAGTGTGTGSATTTTCATGCTGGGCTGGACTTGAAAAGCTATGTGTAATTTAAGGTATTTAGCTTATGAAGGTTTAAAAAAATTCCTCTAAAATCAGGCAACAAAAGAAGTTTGCAAATATTTAGAATCCCTGGATGTTTAACAGGTTCAGCTAGACATAGTTTCTCCCTAAAGGTTTCCCAAGCTGGTCATCAAGTAGAATACCAAATACTGCTTTGATTAATCTGAAAATGCAGATTAGTCAGATTAKAAGTAAAAGGAGATCATTGTCTTTCACAGAGTATTTTAAATTATAATTTTTTTTCCAGTAAAGCATTGAAACCATTTTGATATCAGATTACATAAAATAAAACTTTCTAAAATTCTGTGAAGAACAGTCGATTRCTTTGATTTATGGTCTAAATCTTATTCAGTGAAAATGTATTAACTATTCAGCCTGGGTTTTGTTTTACAGAGGAATAGACAATACATTCCACTGTCTATAAATACGAATTCTGACCCTTGGTATTTTCCTTGCAGCCCACCGTTTTCCTGGATGAAATCTGCCAAGTTGAGAAGCTCCGTGACTCATATGGTGCCATGGCTGACTGCTGTGGTAAAGCTGACCCCGAAAGAAATCAGTGCTTCCTGTCCTTCAAAGTTCACCAACCAGACTTCATTCCACCATACCAGAGACCAGCTGCTGATGTGATCTGCAACGAGTACAAGGATGACCGGGTGCAACTGCTGGGAAAGTAAGGACCCACTTGTACTTTCTTATCCTGATCACATTTTCTCATTTCACGCTAGAGAAGGTTTTGTATTCAAAATAGGAGTTAAGGATCCTATTTTTTAAATCTTGGGTGACTTTTCTTCCCCAAACCTGCTSAAAATGTTGTTTCCATATTGATTTAATAACTTACTCGCTCCAGCTTYCCCCTACTCTCAGTGTAATTGGCAAGAATGAAGAAAGTTATCAGTAAAAACCATCAAAATTGGCAATAAAATCTTGGTGACAGGGCCATAGATGGATTTTTCTCACTGAAAATCAGAATTTTCAAATATTTGACGATACATTTTAAAAAGGCAGATGTGCATCAACAGATGGTCAACAATATCAGTTCATCCTTCACTCACAGTTACTGAATCCTGCCTTGGGAAGAGTGAGATTTAGCAGAGCATTTCCCATCAGTAAACATAATGTCTTGAAAGCAGATTACTAAACTGGATTTCTAAAGTAGATTTCCAAAGTAGAAAAAAGTTAGAGAAGCTGCAAGAGGTTTAAAACCCCTGTTTTGCTGTTGTCACCAGACCATGGAACTTATGTTTTCCTTTTCCTTCTAGTTTCGTCTATACTGTTGCAAGAAGAAACCCCTTCCTGCACGCCCCAGCGATCCTGGGTCTGGCTGCTGAGTATGAAAATGCACTGAAAAGCTGTTGCCCAGAGAGCGATATTGGTGCTTGCTTGGATGCACAGGTACAGCAAATTTGTCTCTGTGGATGAACACTAAACAACCGAGTGAGAGAATTTTCCTGTCCGTGCAAATGTTTGCATAAAGAACTTGGAGAGACAGGTCAGGATTAATCATATCCACTGGATGTCATCAGTTGAATTGACAATGTGTGTCCTGTTACCACAGGCAGCTGTCATCAAGGAAAGAGCCAAGAAGATAGGTGTGAAGCAGCAGCAYGGATGTCGAATCCTCGACAAGTATGGTGAAAGGACTTTCCAAGCAAGGTAGGTTCCAACCCTTTACTGGATAAAAGGTAGGCTTGTCAACCTGTGAGCACTAGGAAAAAGCTCAGCTGTGAGAGCTAGAGAGCAATGAGACCATCTCTGGAACTGTCCAGAAGATGCAGAGTTAACTGCTGGAGTACCACTCAGAACCAGAGATTACAGTGTGTTTAATCCACACTTTTGCCAAAGCTGTACCCTGTTCCAATGCCTACAGCTTTCAGTGATGGACACATGATCAGGAAAGTAAGGTGCTAGTTTGAACCTTAAGCCAACCAAAAAGTCAGATTTGGCAGAATCACAGTTGTTAAAACCTTTGTTTGTAAGATTAAAAAAAAACCAAAAAACTTTAACACTTAAGAAGTAAATCACCTGTCTGGGCAGAGAGAAGTTCTGTGGCCAGTCAGATCCACTAACATTGACTAAGATTATTTTACATAGTCAGCTTTGATTTAAAGGTATAACCAGGATTATATCTATCTGTGCCAAGTAATCTGGAGTGCTTTCCAGTCACTCAAGAGTGATGGGGAATTCTGGGGTGTGATTCTTACAGTTTCAGGCAGAAGAACCACAAACTTGCTCCTTTMTGGCTTTACTGGTGCAGATGTTGATGCTCTCTTTTTTTTAGCCACTAAAAACTAGATGAGAAGAATGTGTGTTTTCTTGATTCAATCCTGATCTACCATATAATGGTAGACTTGCAACATTTCTGTTCCCTACAGTGCTTTAAAACAAGTGTCTTTTTCTAATTTTCCATCCAGTAAACTTGTTCGTATGAGCCAGAAATACCCCGGGGCTCCATTTGCAGAACTTGTCAAGATGGTCCATGACGTGACTGATGTCTACAAGGAGTGCTGTGAAGGGGACATGGTAGAATGCGTGGATGACTGGGTAAGCAAACTATTTTAAAACAATGCTTACTTATTTGAAAAATGCTTAGAAAGGTAATAATTTGTGCAGCTACTCATTCACAGTCCAGGGAACTTAAATCTACTCAGCTCTGCTGGAAGGTTCCTCAAGCACTGCAAAACTCAGG